TGAACCTACACTTTCAGACCTCCAGGCAAACGGTGTAGTCAAAGATACCGCCACTCACTGTGCACCCAAGAAATACATCCGCTAGAAGATTTTTTAAGGGCCGTAAAGAGGCCACTATATTATGCATATACTTTCTCTTTATAATAATTGGCGTAAAATGCATTTGCCACTCAGTACATACTGAATATTATTATTATTGCGCATTTAAACAAGGCTTAGGGAGTTAAGTCCGTTTCTAAAGAAATAATGGGTAAAAGGGGGAGGGGGGTCTTATTCACCCACACTGGATTGTAGGGTAATTGGTAAACCGTTTTGGGGCACCCATACATAATTGTGAGGTTGAACGGGGTTTCTGCAACTTATACCTGTTTGATTCTTATCCTTGAGGTTTTCATCCTACAGACCCTAAAGCTGGGGAAGGGGGGGGGGGGGGTGAAATAAACAAAAGGTGGGGAGGAGCCTTAATTTGTCCTCTCCAAGTATATTGGTGGTGGCATCCCTGGCAGTGGGTCTAATATTCGCCCTTCCCCAAATGGTACCCCGGAGCCCGGACGGGTGATATTGCCATATGACTGACTGACTTACTTTCTACACCACCAGGGCATCATCATCATCATCAGGTGCCTTGCCGACTGGCGTGGGCGATCATGCCTCTCCATAATCTGCGATCTCCTACAGCATGTATCAGTTCGTGTGCCGACACACCTCCATGCCAAGCAACAAGACTGTCAAGCATCTTCTCTCGTTGTCTTCCTCTATCCCTTTTTCCACAGATCTTTCTAGTGGTCACAACGTGTTCTATTTTCCCTCTTTTTATAACATGGCCGAAAAATGATGACTGTCTCCTTCTGATGTCTGTGATAAGTTGTCTTCGGGCTCCCGCCTCTTTCAAAACCTCTTGGTTGCTCTTTTTGGCTGTCCCAGGTATTCTAAGCATTCTATTGTAAAACCACATCTCTGAGGCCTCTAAAAATTGTTTGGCCTGCCTACCGATTGTCCAGGATTCACATCCATATGTTAAAACTGGATGTATGTAGCAAGCAAGAATTCTTTTTCTAACTCTCAATGTCAAGGATATATTGCACAAGATGTTTTTCATTTTATAAAATGCAGTTTTTATCTGTCCAATTATGTTTCTTTTTTCAGTTATGAATCTTCCATCTGATGTTATCCATGTGCCCAGATACTTAAATTTCTGTACCAAAAATAACACCATTGACTTTTATTACACATTTAAACAGGATACAGACAGCACAGAAATACAGAGGACCAGTTGACATATCTGGCACAGGAAATTGAGAATGCCTTCCAGGAAAAAAAGAAAGTTCTTGCTGTCTTTTTTGACCTCTCTCGTGCATTTGATACAGTTTGGAAAGAAGGCCTACAACTAAAACTGCTACAGGCAGGAGTTGTGCACAACATGTACAAGTGGATCAAAGACTTTCTTTTCCAACGCAGAGCCAGATTCAGAATTGATGGACACTTCGGCAAACTGGCAAAACTTAGAGAAGGAGTTCCCCAGGGCAGTGCTATATCACCAACTCTGTTCCTGGTTTACATTAATGATATCACAGCAACCTGCCACCAGCACGTTTCTAATACCCTACATGCCGATGACTTTGCAGTTTGGACAGCCTCCGAATACACTACCACAGCCTCATATATGTTACAAAAAACTGTGGAAAATGTAGAAGCCTGGACCGAAAAGTGGGGTCTAAAGCTAAATAAATCAAAAAGCACAGCATCACTTTTCTCTCTCTCCCCAAAAAAAGAAAAAATCTAAATTTGGATTAAAAACCAGCTCATTCCACAGACTGACACTCCTACCTTTCTGGGCGTTACACTTGATTCGCGACTAACTTGGAAGTCACATGTAGAAGCAGTACAGGGAAAAGCATTCAAGAAGCTTGCAGTGATGAAAAAATTAGCGGGTACCACATGGGGCGCCAACTCTAGAATCCTAAAACAAGTATATACTGGAGCAGTCAGGCCAGTCATGGAATATGCCTCCACTGCATGGGCTGCAGCAGCCAAGACAACAATGGGAAAACTGGACAATGTTCAGAATATGGGATTAAGGATTGTTCTCGGAGCCATGAAAACCACCCCCATCAGAGAAATAGAAAAGATAGCAGATACTGAACCACTCGAACTCAGAAGACAATACAAAACTCTTTTACAGTATGAGAAATTAAAAAGACTTCAAAGTCACCCACTGCATTTTAAATTTCAAGAGAGAACAAAAAACAGACTTAAGCGTCAGAGCCCCAACCACCTTGCTAGAGAACTGTACAGACAGCACCAAGATCTGCTTGAAAGAGATGTTGCACTGTGCGAAAAACTTAGGCCAGAACCATGGACAAGCAAGCCAGAGAAAGCAAATGTAGTCCTAAAGGTACCAGGAATCACTTCAAAAGATGCCCAGACGGAGACACAACAGAGAACCCTGGCTCTTGCTATGCTTGATGAGAAGTATCCAAACACCACTTGGACTCAGGTTTTCACCGACGGCTCTGCTACAGACGCAGTCAGAAAGGGGGGTTGTGGAATTTACATTAAACCCCCTAAGAGTAGAGCAGAAACTCTCTCTCTACCAGCAGGTGACATCTGCACTAACTTCAGAGCTGAGGCAACTGCCCTCCTCTCTGCAGTCCAACATCTCATCACTCAAGAACACAGAGGGCACCAAATTGTTATACTTAGCGACTCATTGTCTGTTCTCGAAGCACTATCCAGCAAAAAACAAGAAAAACTAATTGCTGATCTGAGGACCAACATTGGCTTACTCTCCAAGGAAGCAGAACTGGTCTTGCAGTGGATACCAGCCCACTGTGGTATTCAAGGAAATGAGAGAGCAGATGAGTTGGCAAAAGCTGGGAGTAATCTTCCACAACTCATCCACCACACAGCTACAAGGAAACCAAAACAGAGCTAAAGCAGTCTTTCAAGCGGGAGTGGAGAAGGCAGAATGGAGATTACAGACCAGAGAGTGACAGCATAAACAAACTCAACAAGAAAGAACAAACATCAATTTTTAGACTTCGGACTGGACACTGTGGTCTTCGAGCACACTTGTACAGGATAGGCATAAAAGAATCTGCTGCCTGTGATTGTGGAGCACAAAGACAAACCCCAGAGCACATACTACAGTACTGCCCTAACCTCTCCCAGCAAAGACTGTGGATCTGGCCCAAAGGAGCCACATTGCAAGAGAAGCTATGGGGGACCGGTGGCGACCTTAAACGCACAATCCTATTTGTGACCCAGACGGGACTCAACGTTTAGCATGACTGATATCGAACGCAGAAGAAGAAGAAGAATTACACATTTAGGAATAATTTGTTTCTTTGATACCACCATTACTTCTGTCTTCCTATTATTCAAACTGAGGCCCATTCTTCCACTTTCTAACACCACAATGTCTTATCATTTCCTGTATTTTTTTCTGACTTGTTGCTATCAAGACTGTGTCATCAGCATAACGTAAATTGTTTATATTGTGTCCACCAACCACAATTCTGGGCATATCAATTAAAGATCTCATTATATATTCACTGTATATTGAAAACAAATCAGGTGACAGTACACCTCCTTGTCGTATGCCCCTCTTTATGCTTTGAAATGAACCTAAACAGTTGTTTATTCTTATAGCTGCTGTTTGCTGCCAATTCATATTCTTTATCGTTCGTAGATCTTTCCCATCAATGTTTAATTTTTCTAACAGTTTGATTACTTCTTCATGCTTCACACAGTCAACAGCTTTTGTATAGTCTATGAAGCATAAGTACAAATCAGTCTTTACTTCTATAGCTCTTTCTGACAATGTCCTTAGGATGTATATGGCATTGTTTGTACCTTTTCCTTCTACAAATCCACATTGTTCATCGCTGATTTCTGGTTTAATTTTGTTTCTTATTCTTCTCATAATTATTCTCAGTAAAATCTTAGTCATGTGACTCATAAGACTTATTGTGCGATGGTCTTCACATTTTAAAGTGCCTGGTTTCTTTGGCAGAGCTATAAATATGAATTTTAAAAGGTCATTTGGAATATACCCACTATTATAAATATCATTTAAAAGTTTAGTTATTATTTCAATTCCAAAATCTCCCAGTGCTTCGATTTCTTCCAGTGAGATGTTGATTGGCCCGGGTGCTTTTCCTTTCTTCATATGATGTATTGCATCCTCAACTTCTGTAGTCATTATTGGTGGACCATCATTGTTGGTCTGCATTTCTACATCTGGTCTATTATCATCATACAATTCCCTTATATACTCTGTCCATTTGTTTATTATATCACTATGTCCCAATAATAAGTCACTATCTTGTGATTTCAAACATCCAGTGCTGTTACGTGTCATCTTTGCTGTTAACATATTTATCTGTTGGTACATGGAATGTGAGTCTTTCCTGTGATTTTCCCCAATCTCTGTACACATTTGATTCAGCCAGGCTTCTTTAGCCACTTTGCATTTGTTCACTTTTTTTTTTTAATTCTAGAGTATTCTTCTTTATCATTGGCTTTCTTCCTTCTTTCATCCACCAACTGCAGAATTTCAGTTGACATCCATTTCTTTTTTGTAACCAGGACATCACACAAACGATAAACACCCGATGACACAAAGTGCCACAATGTGGATGAGGTTCACAGTGGAGAGATCTCAGAAACCGCGTTCAGCCTTTAAACCATATTTAAAGCCATACTATATTGCGGCCCCTGGCAAAAGCCAGAGTAGGGCTTCAAATAACGAACAATTTCATCCTAAAAAGGACAGGGCGATTTCATTATTGACATTATTGCCATTTTGTTGCTCTTTACCTCATAAAATACAGCTGTTTGTGCGGGACTGTTATATTTTCCATAGAGACTGCAACATGGCGGCTGGCTTGTTTTGACTTTTTGTTTGCGTTGTTTACAGTGTACATGTTGAAGTAATGGACTTCTGATAGCAGCATCGCTAGCGATTTCTCGTCACACTGTAGATTCAGATATCCATCATGGATTTCTCATTTAACATTAATGAACTGTTTAAAGAGGAAATAACATGTGTAGATGGCAGCTTGCAACTTTGCCAGAGTGAAACGATGACTAGCCTGACTAGGTATAGATGGGCTTTTGCTGTCTGCTTTTTGTGGCACCTTCTCATTGAACTCATTCATTGTTAACTAAATAATGAATTTTACAGATAAATAATGAAATATTTCAAAGTAAGTTAGATCAGATCGCAAAGCCAGTCATGTCTGTCCAAAGGCCTGCTAGTTGGCTGTGGCGTTCGTGAGTGACTCTCCATAACATCAAATTCAAACCATGACATTTCAATTCAACGATGTTTTTTTTTTTTTTACGTTGCTGCTGTAATAATCTTTTTGGACCATTTAGCACCATTTACACATTTGTCCAATGCATCTCTTTTTATTTTACACACATACTTAAACACCAGAGAGAGAGAGAGAGAGAGAGGTGTGAGGCCAGCACTGGTTAGATGCTGAACATAGTTAGCTAAAACACCTGACTCTGGACTCTTACATCACTTTTATCTAAGTCTTCTTTTGTTATTTCACTGATACCGGGTTGAAGCCCAGTGTTGTGGTTTTCTGTATTTGTCTTGCACTTCTTGGGTGATGTATGTGTTAATTTTTTTCACAGGTTTTTCGCTAGATCATTTATCCATCTCTTTCTTGGTCCCATATATATATATATATTCAGTATTCCTTGTGTAGTAGCAATCAGTTACACCGCTGCTGACTTGCTAGGTCCATTGCATGACGCAGCAGGCAAAAATCTGACCTGGTTGGTGCCTGTCTCCTTTTAGGCGAGCCACTATCCTGTTGGGAGTCGCCATGGCCGAGCTCGTTGCGGATCGGAAGGTCATGGGTTCGCTCCCTGGTGGAGCCGGACTATTTTCAAAAATGACCTTGGCTCCCAGGTCGACCCAGCCTTGAGTGGGTACCAGGTGCAGTCCCGGGAAAGTAAAGGCGGCCGGCGTGATGCTGACCACATCACCCATCTTGTGCCGATTGGTCTATAAAAATATAGGTCTAGCCCTATATGCCCTATACGCCTAAAGGCGTAGAAAAGGGTCCTTTACTTACTTTACTTACTATCCTGTTGGGAGGTGGATTTGATCTGGGTGCTCTACAGGCAATAGGTAGGCTACTTAAATTTCATGTCACCTTTCCAAAGAGAAGTTAGTCAAAATTAAGCTACCGACTGCAATGCTAAGCGCCTGAGCACACCCTTGCACACCAACACTTTCATCAACTAGAAATTTGTATTAGTTGATTATCTAGAACACACGTTGTAATGTTAGGGTGCTGGGTTTGATCCCAGCTACAAATTATTTGGCAGCAGACTGTCTTGCCTTGGTTTTTGACAGTGGTATCAAGAGACGACTGCTCAAAGGCAATGGCAAACTAGTGACTGTAAACATTTGTGTAGAAGAACTGCAAAAGTCAAATAATATTAGGGTCAGTTCTGCAACATTCTGTAAAGGAATGCAACTAACTCATCTGGAGTATAGCACATACTGTGGTTATAGAGGTCAAATCAAGCAGGTCAGAAGAGCAGTTTGATAATGTTGTGAGATTTATTGAGGGCCAGCTGAGGTAGTGTAAACATTACTTGGCAGTTGTCATAACTAATAGAAATATTTCCATGGAAGTCCTCGAGGTCACTGAAATAACATAACCATTAGAGATAATTTCACATATATTTACATGGAGGAGGAAGTGAGAGAGTAAAGTTAAAAACATTGGGAGGAAATGCGGAAAGCTGCATGCAATAGAAAAGAAAAGAATGACTTGGCATGCGTTGGTTGATGGCCTATGCTCCATTGGGGGTTAGCAGGGCAGAAGAAGAAGACCACTTCATCACCAAAACTTCCCAAACTGAAGAGTTACAATGCTGTCTGTGTTTCAGAGAAGGCATCCATCAGCTACAGCAGAAATTATCAACAGTTGTGGATCAAATGGGAGAAGCTTCTGCTAAGGTAAGAATGTTTCTTTCCCATTATCTACAATTTTTAGTGTGATATATGTAACATACTTTCATTCTGTCCTTTTCGTGTCTTTGCTAAATTTATTGTTACAGTGTTTCCGCAGCAAATAAAACTACCTGAATAACCACATGACACTGATTAGTATGTTGAAGGAGGAATCTGCACAACTGTTTATTTGTCTGGAGTGCTGTGAAGATGAACCAATTCATAACATGAAATTATGACCCAGCTTTATTATTCTCATAGGCCATACCTGAAAAGAAACCCTGGTTACGATCTTCAGCCATGTGGGCAGATCTCATCCGTTCAAACACTTGATGGACGTACTGAATTATAATGTTATGAAAGAATAAATAAATATTTTGATATTAAAATTGTTGACATTATTGCTTTCTGTACCTGAATAAATGTATATTTTTGTGTTTAAATAAATGTATATTTTTGTACTTGAATAGGTATAGTTTTTGTATGAAAAAATCCCAGTGTGGTTTCTGAGGCCCAGTTGTAGGGAAAATAAGAATAGACCCACTGGCTATCCTTTTCTTCTTCTTCTTTGTGTTTGGTTGTGCATGCTCAGATCAGACCATCAGGTGGGTTGCCACTATGAACTTGCATGTTAGTAGCGAGTCAATCATGGTTCCCCATAGCTTGCTCTGCACACTTGGCAGGTCTGCAGAATTTGCTCAGGTGTTTGTGGTCCTGACTGGCTATCCATAAGTGTGTCGTGAGAGTCGACTAATTCGGAGCTACCTTCGAAAGTCGGAGTGCATCTGCCTGAGAAGTAATGAACTAACAATCTGCATACAAATTAGCCAGATCTGTAAAATTAATGTGCATGAAGCACTCAGGTTCTGGAACAAGACCAAAGTCTGGAGGTGGATGAACACCCTGAACTTTCTAACACCCCCCCCCCCCCCTCCAACAATGGGGCTGCAGAATCCACACTGGGAACCGCAGGAATTGTTTTCCATGATGGATGCTAATAGAAGAGATAATTATCCAGATAAAGTGTGCACATTTTTGGTTCCCTGTCAGGCTCAGGGTTTGGACAATCCAATCACAACAGGCACCAAGTTGAAAGGTTCTGATCATAGACTCTACATTTTGAAGGATAGCAGCGGCAGCAGGTAGGTTGCTAGGTCATTCAATTTATTCTTTTACAGTCTGTACCATGGCTTTTCAGCTGAGTTTATTTAGAGACCACATTTTTATAAATTGCTTTCTCACAGGCCAGAGACTCGGGCCCAACATAGAAAGATAATTAATATTAATTAATTTATTCTTTTACAGTCTGTACCACGGCTTTTCAGCTGAGTTTATTCAGAGACCACATTTTTATAAATTGCTTTCTCACAGGCCAGAGACTCGGGCCCAACATAGAAAGATAATTAATACAAGATAACTGGCAGTAATCTGCAAGCCAGTTACTCAGCCTCCTGGACCAGATTTGATCCCCCGGCTGCCGGTTGAATAGCACTAGTGTATGGAACGTCTTTGAGATCGCAAACAGGACCAGGTTTTTAAGAGGCTAAAACACTTCTCACGGCACAGCATTTCTAAATGTTGGGTCTTTAGTCTGACAGACATTGCAAGAATCACTATGCCCACTGCAGATGTGAAGTTTCACTATTGACCTTGTACAACCTGCTGGTTTGACCTTGAAGAGAAGGAAGGCTCTGTAACCCTGTTGCTATAGATGTGATTCTTAGGTACCAGTTCGGGAGGAATGTCTCTGTAGCAGCTTCATTCCAATCAGAGGCAAGTCAATTTCTGGGCTTGCAGTTAGCCAACGATACAAGTGGGAGGACAGTATCAAGAGATGGATGAACAGCAGCCTGGGAGAGTGTAGAACCAGGACAAGAGGCAGAGCATGTTGCAGCCAACCTTCACAATGGGGACCGATGGCAACTGATTGATTGACCAAGTGTCACTCAATCAGAGTTAAGGGTTAAAAGTGACTTTCATAGAGTCTTTCACAACCAGCCAGTAAAACAACCAATGAAACTACCAATACTTAGAAAGACAGTTTTGTATCAGTAATGAATTTATTGAGACAGTGGACACAAACAGTCTATATCATGTATTAACTCTTTGAGTCCCAGGAAACACATCACACGCTAATTGGTTACAACACAGCGGTCCAATCGACGCGTGACAAGTGAAGGTTTTTAATTTACCGCTGACAAGTTATAAAACTCGGACCGCTCAATTTTAACTTCCTTTTGGGTTCTTTGTGTCTGATATCAGGCGTATTCATTTATAAACGTGGTTTAAAAGCCGAAAATATAGTATTTTTGTGAGGTTTACTGAGTTACGAAGTGTTTGTTTGAAAACAATATGGCCACCAAGCAGTGTTCTACATGCCAACATGATTTAGGGCTTTGGAAGCCTCATATTTAAATAAAGCACATGTTTATTACATTTATCTGAAGTTACATTGATAAAGTTGCCAAGTAGACTTGTTTAAGTCATTTATAGAATCAAGCTTTGATGAAGGATTGGTCTAATGTGTACCTCACACGAAGGGTACAACAATAGCAAAGTCAGCTGGCACAAATAGAATAAACATTAGTGAAAAGATGATTTTCTTCAGTGTCAGTTAGTTCTAGTGCTATTCCCCTTATTATTTGGGAACATAGCTACAAAATTACAGGCAAATTGAGTGTTATATAAACCTAATTTTGGGATTAGATAGTTACTGTTTTACAAGTTAGTTTTCTTTATCAAATAATGGTGCTCTGTTATGATGCTTCAAAAGATTCTCTGCAACGTCATCTAATGCACAGATTGATTTTTTATTTTACTTATAAATTACTGAGTGGTTCATATTAATTTGTGATTCAGTTTGGATATATATTAGTCGGTTTTCCTTGAGTGTCATGGTGGCAAGTGAAATTTTTAAATTTCATGTTACTAATTTATGTTAACATGCTGTTTATTTATTTATAAATATTTAATTACTTACACAATTATTTGTTGTAGCAGTATTCTATTATTATTCCCCAACAATCCCTGGTCACTCTGATGTATAATATGTGTATGTTGCTTGTCAGTTGAATTAGTATGGTCTGTTTTAATGTGTTACACTTGTGAAATTAAATAATTGCATTACCACCCCTTTGGCCTCTGATGCTAAACCCCCTGGGACTCAAGGAGTCAAGCAACAATTGTAGGTCATTTTCCACATAAAATTGGAAATGTTAATATTTTTTTAAGACTTAAAACTTTTCTGGTCTGCTCTGGTCTGTTTCCTTAATGGCCTGCTACCTGAAAGTTTAATTGATCTGAGATGATATAAATTTTATTCTGGGTGGCAAGCCAACAGGGTAACCCATAAATACCCATTCAGCTACAAAGTTATACTCGGGACACTGTAATAGCTACACCAGTTTTGCCCACCGTCCTGTATGGGGGAGCAACCAGTTGTAGCCTTCTGTCTTGTATGGGGGAGCAACCAGTTGTAGCCTTCTGTCCTGTATGGGGGAGCAACCAGTTGTAGCCTTCTGTCCTGTATGGGGGAGCAACCAGTTGTAGCCCTCTGTCCTGTATGGGGGAGCAACCAGTTGTAGCCCTCTGTCCTGTATGGGGAAGCAACCAGTTGTAGCCCTCTGTCCTGTATGGGGGAGCAACCAGTTGTACCGTCTCAAACTGTGCACACTGCAAGACTTTGGTCTTGATCCACAACTCAAGGTTTTCTTGCATATCCCTTCTACAGATCTGGCTTATTTTTATGCAGTCTGTTGGTCCCTTGCCTCATTTGTAGATGTACTACAACTTTGAAGAAAACACCTCTAATTGGTCCACCTCCTACAACAGGCTTGTTAGCCTCCTATGACATGCTTGCTGGAGGGGGGGGGGGGGGTCAGTGGGTCTTTTCTTTATTTTGCAGAATGGAGACTCAGAGCCTCTCACTGGGAAAAAGAAATCCAAGAAGGGGTTTCTTCCAGATCTCTGCCAAATGGAACAATCAGATGTTTGGTCTTCTTAGACAAGATCCTAGGCAGACATGATGTGGACCGGATTCCCAAACTGATGCTCCCAAATCCCCTGCCTGCATTGCCTGAGAACATTCCAGTGCAAAATTGGCCTCATCAGTGACTTATCTACCCATAATCCCACTCTACGTAGCGGATGAAACGTCTTGTTATCATCACATGTGATAAAAGCAACAACAAACAACACACATAACAGATAACATCTGTTTAGACGACATTGTAACAGATAACATCTGTTTAGACAACATTGTAACAGATAACATCTGTTTAGACAACATTGTAACAGATAACATCTGTTTAGACAACATTGTAACAGATAACATCTGTTTAGACAACATTGTAACAGATAACATCTGTTTAGACAACATTGTAACAGATAACATCTGTTTAGTAACAGATAACAACTGTGTTAACATCTGTTTAGACAACATTGTAACAGATAACATCTGTTTAGACAACATTGTAACAGATAACATCTGTTTAGACAACATTGTGTACCACAGTGCAGGAACAGATATCAGTCATGTGGGGAACACATGCAAGGTACTGCTAGAAATGGCAAAGGACAGGGCTCTGGCATGAGCCAACCTGTGATCGGAAGGAAGAAAATAAGGAGCAGAATAAAAAAGAAGAATATGCACATGCACACTCTATAATGTTTCAACAGATGGGAATCATAAATTGGTCATTTTTTTCAAAGCTGCAGCCAAGTATTAGCGTGTGGAATATTTGTGGGCTCAAATCCAAAGAGTGAATATAATGTTTAGTTATTGATTTTTTTGTTTTGGTGGCAGGGGATGCATTGTGGGTATTCTGAAGGTGGGCAGAAAGAATCTCTTCCTGTATGATAAATGCAAAGTTCAGCACGAAGTTCAACCTCTGTGTGTCCTTGACTTTTATGTTCACGAGTCTCGCCAGAGGATGGGATGTGGACGCAGGCTGTTTGATTTCATGCTACAGGTAAATGTGTTTGGCATTCGTTAACTTTCTTCAGTCCCAGATAATTTCACAGCAAATGCTCAGTGTGGCACACACTTGCCCAGTCATAACTTAGACTAAAAAATATTAACAGATTTAGCCAGATTTCTTTGGCACACTCAGACCAAACATGAAAGAGGTATTCATAATAAAACACAAAGTGTTGTAAGCTACACAAAGACCTTACCTGATCACACATGGTGCGTTGCTTGGGACAGAAGGAGTTAACACAGCTCGTCGTCATGAACTTTGGTGAATGTATTACACTATGCAGGTGTTCCTGGTAGCGATTGAGCTTACTTTTAGCTTTCAAAGCGCAAAACTAGGCACCTGAAAGACCAGATTTTACAGCAGTATATCCATGCTCGGCTAATATGGGTTGAATAATTGTGTATAGCAAATAGCAAATGGACATCCTGTGGGCTGTCACAATTTAGTCACAAGTTTGGGGTTATAGAGGAACAGCTGGCCAAGTTAGAATGTGGGAGACTCTGGTTCAGATCCTCTGTAAGGTAACAGCATCTCTGTCAGGAAAAACAAAAACATCTAAACCTGCACAGTTTATGGCAACTGCACTAAACAGGCAGCCTTCTATCCTCAGCTGAAGACACCCTCAATCCCCCCCCCCACCCCCATCCCGTCCTGCACTGCCCTAAAAAGCGGTACTGTAGGCAGTAAAGAGTGCTTTTTTGAAACAGAAGGAAGAAGGGAGCATTCACACACCTAACATACTGTGACAGCAACCATCATCCATACAAAGTATCTCCTGGGTGAGACTGATCACTTTTGAGTCTCATTTATGTACAGTGACATCAGTTTAGGGTAAAAATAATGTTTAATTTGTAAAACTGTTGTGTAAATAAGTTTATCAGGGACCCATTTCTGGCCATAGGACATACTAGGTAAATGATACTAGCCACATGTTTTAGACCCATCAGCACTTGATGGAGGATAAGGCAGCTCTTTTTCTTTGGTACATCTTTGGGGAAAACCACATCTGGTGATTTAATAACAAATCCACAGGGGTGAAGTGGTCAAGCCGTTTGTCTCTCACTCTTCTTCTTCTAAGCTTTCATCAGCTGTAAATCCATTGGAAAGTGCTGGTGATTTGTCACCTCTGGACTTTGATCTTAGTCCAGAACTTGAGTGTTGCGTACACATATTTTAAACAAATCTGGCTTATTTGTTGGCAGGCTGGTGCTTCTTTGCCTCTTAGGCAGATGCACTCCAGTTCAAAAGGAAACACTCCTAATTAGTCCCTTTGTTCAACATGTTTGATAGGGGTCAGTCAGTATGTTCTCTAGCCTTCCATGAAATGTAACCACAGAATCCACACAGGAACCTCACAATCTGAATGCATTTGTCATTCTGTTCACAAAACAGTCAATATGAAGATTCCCTGGGGATCATTGCTGGAAGGGCTTTGGGTGACTTTCTGGACAGGTGGCTGGATTATTGCAGCGGATCTCAACCTGCCTGCCACTATCCTTTTTTGTGTGTGGTTTGAACAACCTTTTCACAAGGGTCGCCTAAGACCATCGTAAAACACATATTTATTGAAGTTATGAAAGAAAATATATGTTTTGGGGTTTGCCACAACATAAGAGAACTAGTATGAAAGGGTCATTAAGAAGGTTAAGAGCCACTGCTCTATGGAGACAAGAGACTTAACTGAATGTGACACGACCTGGTGCAATGAAGTCAATCTTCTCAACTATAACTTTAATACAGATCAGCAGCATCTGGCACTTATCCACTGTGTTGTTGTGTCTCCACAGAGGGAAGGCATCCCTGTACAGCATTTTGCCATTAACAGACCGTCGCCAAAGTTTTTGTCCTTTCTGGCAAAACACTACAAAATGCAAGTGGCCATTCCTCAAGTGTATAACTTTGTCATTTTTGATGGATTCTTTGACAATAGAGAAGGTAGTCTCTGTCTTCTTGTCTCTTGTTATCTGTCTTAGCTCTGCTAATCTCATTTCTATTGTTCTGTCTGTTTCCCGCTGTAAGAGTTACTGTTTCTTCTTTGTGTATATTTCTCATTTATTATTCTCAGTCCCTGCTACTCTCTTTCTTCTCACGTCGCTTTTGCTTTATTCTCATAGTTTCTGTCTCTCTCTCTGTCTGTCTGTCTCTCTCTGTCTGTTTCTCTCTTGCTCTGTCTGTCTCTGTCTGTTGGTCGGTCTGTCTGTCTGTCTGTCTCCCTCTCTCTGTCTCTCTAATTTTTCTTGTTCTAACTTTCTATGGGCATTTTTATGTCTCTTTCTCTTATTCCATGTATATTAATTTTTAGATGTCTTTTATTTGTTTATGTGTATCTGGGTTGATCCCAGGGACATAGTGATTTAAAAAAAAAAATTATTAATGTGTTATCTACAGGAGATTGAACCAAGATCACATTCTTGGCAGGTAAATGCACAAACGTCAGCACCACCATAACGCCTCATCAGTGACTTATCTACCCATAATCCCATTCTACATATGCAGTTATTTATATATTAGTAGAGAATGTTCAGTAATATCATGTAAGACTGCAGCAAAAAAAACAACTATGCTAACAGCCTATAGCACACCATTTCTGAGAATATGCATTTCCTGTAGCAGTCTGTGGGTGTGAGCGGTGGGACAGTTTCATAGATACTAAAGAAAACATCCTGGGTTTTTCAACTTAAATGATGCCAGAGATTTCTCAGAATACCATAAATCAAAAACATTTATTTTTTTTAAATATGGAAAAGAAATGAAACCAAATGAAAAGTAGAACCAGTCAGCTTCTTATTATCACAGTCAAATGACAGGTGGACTTTGCAGCTAGAGAACTTTCATCAGCACATTACATGAATATACAATACCACAAATATAAACAATAATACACAGAATCACATATTACAAAATATGAACAAAATACGTAAAATCACTGAACTGATGAAACTCAGAGAGAAATCACTTGTCTCTCTGGCCAGTTAAATAGTTTACACATGTTTTTTCACTGGAAATAAATACTGGCCAGAAAAAGCTGTAAACAACAAGGTCTGTAACTAAAAAAAATTAGATAAAACTGTTGGATGTTAAGTCCCCTAGGCGAATTAGAGCCCATTAGATAGATAAGTTGTTCTTGAGAGACTTACAGACTCTAAGAATAGGAAATACTGACATTCTGCAAGATGAAAGGAAACTTTCGTATAAGGAGCATCATATGTCAGAAACTAAAGCACTTTTCCATACTAAACACGAATGTGGTTTGCATGACGGTAATAGAAAGCAGGGTTCATGAAAAAGAGGCAGGGAGCGTGTAGGTGGACACTAGATATCACATGCCTTGGTTTTGAAAATACACAAGGCAGATCGACTGCCAAAGGGCTGGGTTATTTCTAGCAGGCCACGATGGAAGCAACATCTTGCAAAAAATCTGTCATGTGATGATGCTAGACAAAAAAGTAGCAGTCTGAGAGGGAAGTAGTTAAAGTAGTGACTGTATGGTAAACATAATTGTTGGTTACTGTCCATGAAACGAGTTTATATGAGCTGCTTAAACACATTACCACCTGTAGTTTGTTGCCGTGTCTAAAGGAGGATTGAATCTCATGATACCATGTTTAAATTACCTATAGCTCTCATGGTCTGCAGGAAACAATCAGAACAGAAGATCAGGCGAGAATGCTAATATTGACAACAGCACAAGGTTCAGTAAGCAGAATCTGAACTCAGGTATGTGATTTGTTTACCGCCTGCTTGTATATTTGCTTTCTTTGGTGACCTATTTTCTTCTCATTGGTTGTTCTTTATTTATTCCAATTTTTGTTGTTGTTGCATTTATGTTGTATTTTACAGCATGTTGAGACTCCTAAATAGCTTTGTGTGGATGTCTGTGTGGGTCATTCTCAGTCCATAATTAGTTAAGTTTATTAAAGTCTCACAGTATATGTTCATTTTTGTCTATGCAGCATGTCTTCATGGTGCCCTTTTTATGTCTTGTCCAGCCCAATAGCCACAGAGAATGAATAATACAGTAAAAGCTCATTAACACAAACTTTGCCTGGCAGAGAAAAAAAAAGTGTATGTGTTAAAAAAAAGAATTGTGCACTAACCTTTCTATCTCTGTCTATTCTCTTTCTCCTGCTAATGCTGTTAGGTATCGCAGGTGAGCAAATGATCGGTTTCCGGGATAGTGCGAGCTCGTGAGCTTTGACTGCTTTTCTCAAACATCTGATTTCACACGTCGTTAGTTTTTGCTTTTGTTAATGCTCAAGTTTGGCATTGGTAACACAATGTTGGTAACACAATGTTGGTAACACAATGTTGGTAACACAATGTTGGTAACACAATGTTGGTAACACAATGTTGGTAACACAATGTTGGTAACACAATGTTTGTAACACAATGTTGGTAACACAATGTTGGTAACACAATGTTGGTAACACAATGTTGGTAACACAATGTTGGTAACACAATGTTGGTAACACAATGTTGGTAACACAATGTTGGTAACACAATGTTGGTAACACAATGTTGGTAACACAATGTTGGTAAGAAGATTGCATTTATGATTTGTCTTGTTAGTTTCTGTTAGTATTGCTAGATGTTTCAGTATGGGGAAACGTTTATAAGTAACACTGTTTGCTTGTTGGATTCTGGACTCAATCTTTCTGTCTGTTCTGTCATCTAATGTGAAGATGATTCCAGGATATTTGAATTCACCCACCTGTTTTAGTGAATGTTCGTTAATTTGTATGTCAGTATCGCTTTAACCTGTGACTAACAATAATACATCCGTGCTGTTATGTTAACTAATTATTCTTTTTTAGTAAGTTAATGCAAACAAGGTTTTATTTTATTTTGAAACTGTTAGTCACTCACTTCTTTCAGGGAGGAGATATTACAACTCCCAAAAAACAGAGGATGAAGCTGCATGGGTAAGTGTGGTTATTATTGCCCTGCTAAGGGATTGCGGGTGTTGGTGGCATTGAAAGAGCTGATAGATTGGCTGGCTCTACCATAGTTGCAGTTGGCCAGCCTGTGGTTCACACCACCATTATCAATGCCGTTAGAGTGGACGATCGGAGGATTTTGGTGACATAATGTCCATATCACTGCTCAGAATGCAAGAATTGGTTGCAAAGATCGGCACAGTCAGGCATGAGAGGCACACCATACTACAAGAAGTCTTGTTAAGCAGTATAGGACTAGCACAATTAACCACAGGATGCTGAAAGTGTTTAGGGGAGAATTTGAGCAGAAGGGAATGTATCAGGAAGTTCTGCGAAGATAGCCCAACTCTACTTCATATACTTTCTATTTGACCACTTTTTAGGGTGCTATAGGCAGGTGGGGGGGGGGGGAAGGGTGCTGAGGATTAAGAGCCTCCCGGCTAGTACTGTTGCCAAGGACTGTGCGGGTCAGAATACTAAATTTTGCCCTGGAAAGAAAAGCTCTGTCACCTTACTGGGGTTCAAACGTGGGTCTCCCGGACCCAGAAATGTTGTCTGAAGTAAAGGCCGTCATCATGATATTCACCATATTAGTCATCAGTTACTGATTGGTCTACACACATGATGACTAGCGACGTTTGTCCAGTAGATCGGCAGGTGGTTAACTTTATTTCAGCTCTGAGGCCACCCTTCCTCATAAATTTGCTGCAAGAAGTTCTTGGAAAAATAAAGGCAGCGAGGTTATTCCTTGTGCGCTGTTTAGGTCTCAGAAAGGGCCTAATGTAAAAACTCCAGTACCCCGTGTGGGTTCCTGGATCCAGTTTGGGGGAGAGGAGTGTGTGGAATAAGAATAGGGCCACTGCTGCCCCTTCCAACATGCATGTCATAAAAGGCAACTAATAAGGGGTGTTTGCTTCAAAGTCAGAGTACATCTGCCTGAAAGCAAGAAACTGACAGTTTGAACATCAATAACCCAGATCTGTAAAACGGATGTGCATGCAAAACTCAAGTTCCGGAGCAATACCAAAGTCCAGAAGTGGACGAACAAGCCCTAACTTTCTATCAGAGTTTATTGCCACTGAACGCTGAGAAGAAGAAACCTCCAATGTGTCTTGATGGCTTCGTACTGGGATCACATGACATCATAAATATTATCAAATTAAATTTTGTTTTATTTTTATTTTGTTGTTGTTGTCCCTTCTAGAATGTTTTAAACAATTGGATTTCACCAAACAGTGGCAGACAAAATGAAAGGTGAGTGCTAGTTTACAGGCTGTTCTACACTCTAGTCTTTGGTAGATGAGACTCATTGGTAGATGAGACTCATTGTGTGAACTCTAGTCTTTTACATGGCTGTTGTGTGCTAGTTTTACACTGTTCTAAAGTAATCTTTGGTAGATGAGACTCATTGTGTGTGTGCTAGTCTTTTTACAGGCTGTTCTAAACTCTTGTCTTTGGTAGATGAGACTCATTGTGCTAGTTTACAGGCTGCTAAAGTCTTTTAGATGGCTGTTCTAGTTTAAACTCTTGTCTTTGGTAGATGAGACCCATTGTGTGAGTGCTAGTTTACAGGCTGTTCTAAACTCTAGTCTTTGGTAGATGAGACTCATTGTGTGAGTGCTAGTTTACAGGCTGTTCTAAACTCTAGTCTTTGGTAGATGAGACTCATTGTGTGAGTGCTAGTTTTTACAGGCTGTTCTAAACTCTAGTCTTTGGTAGATGAGACTCATTGTGTGAGTGCTAGTTTACAGGCTGTTCTAAACTCTAGTCTTTGGTAGATGAGACTCATTGTGTGAGTGCTAGTTTACAGGCTGTTCTAAACTCTAGTCTTTGGTAGATGAGACCCATTGTGTGAGTGCTAGTTTACAGGCTGTTCTAAACTCTAGTCTTTGGTAGATGAGACTCATTGTGTGAGTGCTAGTTTACAGGCTGTTCTAAACTCTAGTCTTTGGTAGATGAGACTCATTGTGTGTGTGCTAGTTTACAGGCTGTTCTCTTTGGTAGATGAGACTCATGTGTGTGTGCTAGTTTACAGGCTGTTCTAAACTCTAGTCTTTGGTAGATGAGTTTACATGCTGTTCTAAACTCTTGTCTTTGGTAGATTGAGACCTTTGTGTGTGTGCTAGTTTACAGGCTGTTCTAAACTCTTGTCTTTGGTAGATGAGACTCATTGTGTGTGTGCTAGTTTACAGGCTGTTCTAAACTCTAGTCTTTGGTAGATGAGACTATTGTGTGTGTGCTAGTTTACAGGCTGTTCACTCTTGTCTTTGGTTGAGACCCATTGTGAGTGCTAGTTTACAGGCTGTTCTAAACTCTAGTCTTTGGTAGATGAGACTCATTGTGTGTGCTAGTTTACATGCTGTTCTAAACTCTAGTCTTTGGTAGATGAGACCCATTGTGTGAGTGCTAGTTTACAGGCTGTTCTAAACTCTTGTCTTAGGTAGATGAGACCCATTGTAAGTGCTAGTTTACAGGCTGTTCTAAACTCTAGTCTTTGGTAGATGAGACCCATTGTAAGTGCTAGTTTACAGGCTGTTCTAAACTCTAGTCTTTGGTAGATGAGACTCATTGTGTGTGCGCTAGTTTACAGGCTGTTCTAAACTCTTGTCTTTGGTAGATAAGACCCATTGTGTGTGTGCTAGTTTACAGGCTGTTCTAAACTCTTGTCTTTGGTAGATGAGACTCATTGTGTGTGTGCTAGTTTACAGGCTGTTCTAAACTCTTGTCTTTGGTAGATGAGACCCATTGTGTGAGTGCTAGTTTACAGGCTGTTCTAAACTCTAGTCTTTGGTAGATGAGACTCATTGTGTGTGCTAGTTTACAGGCTGTTCTAAACTCTAGTCTTTGGTAGATGAGACCCATTGTGTGAGTGCTAGTTTACAGGCTGTTCTAAACTCTTGTCTTTGGTAGATGAGACCCAGCTAGTTTTTACAGGCTGTTCTAACTCTAGTCTTTGGTAGATGAGACCCATTGTGTGAGTGCTAGTTTACAGGCTGTTCTAAACTCTAGTCTTTGGTAGATGAGACTCATTGTGTGAGTGCTACTTTACATGCTGTTCTAAACTCTAGTCTTTGGTAGATGAGACTCATTGTGTGTGTGCTAGTTTACAGGCTGTTCTAAACTCTTGTCTTTGGTAGATAAGACCCATTGTGTGTGTGCTAGTTTACAGGCTGTTCTAAACTCTTGTCTTTGGTAGATGAGACTCATTGTGTGTGTGCTAGTTTACAGGCTGTTCTAAACTCTTGTCTTTGGTAGATGAGACCCATTGTGTGAGTGCTAGTTTACAGGCTGTTCTAAACTCTAGTCTTTGGTAGATGAGACTCATTGTGTGTGCTAGTTTACATGCTGATCTAAACTCTAGTCTTTGGTAGATGAGACCCATTGTGTGAGTGCTAGTTTACAGGCTGTTCTAAACTCTTGTCTTAGGTAGATGAGACCCATTGTAAGTGCTAGTTTACAGGCTGTTCTAAACTCTTGTCTTAGGTAGATGAGACCCATTGTAAGTGCTAGTTTACAGGCTGTTCTAAACTCTAATCTTTGGTAGATGAGACTCATTGTGTGAGTGCTACTTTACATGCTGTTCTAAACTCTAGTCTTTGGTAGATGAGACTCATTGTGTGAGTGCTAGTTTACAGGCTGTTCTAAACTCTAGTCTTTGGTAGAAGAGACTCATTGTGTGAGTGCTAGTTTACAGGCTGTTCTAAACTCTAGTCTTTGGTAGATGAGACTCATTGTGTGTGTGCTAGTTTACAGGCTGTTCTAAACTCTAGTCTTTGGTAGATGAGACTCATTGTGTGAGTGCTAGTTTACAGGCTGTTCTACACTCTAGTCTTTGGTAGATGAGACTCATTGTGTGAGTGCTAGTTTACATGCTGTTCTAAACTCTAGTCTTTGGTAGATGAGACTCATTGTGTGAGTGCTAGTTTACAGGCTGTTCTACACTCTTGTCTTTGGTAGAAGAGACTCATTGTGTGAGTGCTAGTTTACAGGCTGTTCTAAACTCTAGTCTTTGGTAGATGAGACTCATTGTGTGAGTGCTAGTTTACAGGCTGTTCTAAACTCTAGTCTTTGGTAGATGAGACTCTTTGTGTGAGTGCTAGTTTACAGGCTGTTCTACACTCTAGTCTTTGGTAGATGAGACTCATTGTGTGAGTGCTAGTTTACAGGCTGTTCTACACTCTTGTCTTTGGTAGATGAGACCCATTGTGTGAGTGCTAATTTACAGGCTGTTCTAAACTCTAGTCTTTGGTAGATGAGACTCATTGTGTGAGTGCTAGTTTACAGGCTGTTCTAAACTCTAGTCTTTGGTAGATGAGACTCATTGTGTGAGTGCTAGTTTACAGGCTGTTCTACACTCTAGTCTTTGGTAGATGAGACCCATTGTGTGAGTTCTAGTTTACAGGCTGTTATAAACTCTTGTCTTTAGTTAGTTAGTCGACAGATTATTCTTATTACACGTTGAACCACTCAAAACATAAGTGAAGCGGCTGACGACACCAGTTCTGTGCAGGTATATTATTCTTCTTTGGCTACCCGATTAGTGTTCTTGTTTGGCGGCATCCTGTTTAACTTACTGTTCTTGCAGTCTTGGTTGCAGATTTACAGTTCTCAGTTGGTTCACACAAACGTCTTAACTCTCTTAGAGCATTCAATATATCAGCCTGGTCCATGGCTTGTCCAGCTTTCACAGCAGCCTTACCTGCAAGCCTATCAGCTTGCTCGTTTCCCTGTACCCCCACATGTCCAGGCACAAAAATGAAACTAATCCTTGTTAGTCGTGAATTCTGTAGAGCCAGCAACCACTGCCTTCGGACCCAGCCCTTCTCTATCTTCCTGAGCATACTCATTGAGTCACTGAGAAAGCATGCCCCAGTGAAAGTCTGTGTCTCTCTGCTATGTTACTGCTCTAGTCACAGCCATGACCTCCATAGTCAGACTACTTGTAGTTATGGCAAAAGCTCCAGAATCTTCCTTCACAACTCTTTCTCCAACCTAAGCCGTGAAAGCCCACAGTCTCAACTCTTTCAGGACGGCATCTTATATGGGCTTTGAACGGAATTAATTTTGAGCTGAATTTTGGTTTGAAGAGAAATGAATACAGAATACATCTGAACTGTTTAAGGAACAGTATTTTAACAAAAAAATAGTAAAGACACCACATTCAAGGATGTTAGACACACATGAATACTTTTGTCACACAAAGTTGTTTACTTACCTGACTATTTTACTTTATCACTGTTATCATGCTCCACATGCCTTCTCTGTTCAGTTATGCATCAGCTAGTCATTATTTGAGACTATTAATCTAAAAACCTTAGATTCTATGACGATATTTATATGACATGCCAAATTTCAGAACAACTAGCAACCGAAATAATATAAGAGTGTCCATGACAGCGGCCGCTTAAGTGGCAGTATGACTAAAAATGACAGATTGTGCTCCCACCTAATGGGTGATACGCCCAGAAAGAGTTAAACTCTTGGTAGATGAGACCCATTGTCTTAGCAAGTCTGCAACATGTGTATCCAAATGCTAGAATTGATATATGACTTACACGACATAAAATGTCAGCCACCCAGGGCTGTTAATAAAACAAATGATAGATGAGGATTCAGGGGAGGATAATGCAGCAGCATGTGCAGACATTTGCAGCTAAATTCGCTTCACCTTTATCCATAAGTAGTGATGACAAAGGTCCTCCATTCGGAGCTGAACTCATTTTTCACATATCAGTTTGTATGTTAGTGATTTTTTTTTTGGCCTTGTAAGCAGGATGTTGGTAAACATATACTATCTATAATTCTATAGAAAGTCTCATTTGTTCTTCTTTAATGTTTGTAAAATGTTTGCGGGTACACATGTGGTGTGACTTACATAAATTATTTGTGGAAATTCCTCTTTCATGGTGAAATGATCCGTGGTCTACTTGAAATGAACCAAGACGTAGACTTGAAGTTACGCTTTCAACTATCTTGAAATGATTCTGATTCAACTTGGAATGAACCTTGGTTTACACCAACTTCAACGTCTAGGGTTGACACACTAACGCCACTCAGCTTCAAAGTACAATCTGTCAGTTTATTCTGGTCCATGTATTCAACATGCTTAAACAATTATTCTCAATTCTATCACTCGCGACATATTCAAACATTAACCATTCTCGCGACATAAAAACTACATCTTCAATTACTACAACCTTCTTCCCTGACTTCTGATGATCGACTGACCACGAGGCTAGCTCGGGCTTCGCCTC